GTGCTGGGATTAAAGGCATGCGCTACCACACCTGGCCACCAAAAATCACTTTTTATAAATAATGAGCCACTCTCTATACCAATTATATAGTTACAGAATTAAACAAGATTAGTATTTTTGGTTATTTTCTGTTGTAACTAGACATTTACTTGTTGCAGTGACATAATTATGTTACTGTTTCAAGCAACTTATTACCAGTATAGGTTCTTCGATATAGAAGAATTATAATGACCTGGAGCCTAGCTGTTTGTGACAACTTACAGGATATATATTCAGAGAAGGGTGCTTGATTTTGTTTTGGACATGATGACATTTGAGCTGCTTATCTGTGCCCCACAACTGGCAGAGAAATGCAGTACACTAATCATAAAGTTGCATGTGGGGCTTTGAATACTCCTAGCCTTTAGCTTTTCCAAAAAGGTAGAGAGACATATAACTTCTGTTTTTGATTTTAAACATATTGCTTGGTGGTCTCAATGAATCAGGACACTGGCTCCATTCTGTATTTACTGTTTATACAAAGCATGCTGATAAATAGAGAAAATGTTACAATGTGAAAAGATCGCACTTGAGACTAGAATGGTGACTGCATAAAGGTAGGAACTTTATTTTGTTCTAAGGTGTCACCATTTCCTAGCTTAATACTTTGCTCTCACAAATACTTATTAATGAGTGACCCTCCATTACTTTCATAGGAAGTGAATGCAGTCATGCTTTTGGATTGTCTTTTTTCTGTTTTCATATATACTTCAATAGTAAGGTTTTTTTGTGTTTGAAGTTTTTTTTTTTTTTTTTTTTGAGACAGAGTCTCACTATGTAGCATTGGTTACTTGGAACTCCCTATGTATCCCAGGTTAACCTCAAACTCACAGAGATCCATCTGCCTCTCCCTCATGAGTGCTAGGATTAAAGGCATGAGCTACCATGTCTGACATAGTAGTAAAGGTTTTAAAGAAAACTTTAGGTTCAGGGAGTAGGTTTCAGTATAGTAATTTTATTTAGCTGATAAATACTTGCATTTGGGCTAATTAATGCTGGTGATTAAATCATCTCCCTACCATTGAATAATCCTACCCAATATGCTATGAAATTCTAGTTTTGGATGACTGAAAAGCTAATAGACATAAGTGAGGTAACACTAAGATGGAGAAAAAATTAAACACCCAATGCAGTAGCAGTTGTTAAAACCACTTAATAAAATTTAACAGTTTTGAATTTTGTTTTTGAGTCCTCTATGTAGCTGTGGAATATGTAAATGAAACGTACTGTCTTTTCTATCAAAGGGTTAAATAAGACAAAGTTTCATCTTTAAAGAAATGTGTAAAAACACCATCTGGCAAAACTCCTTGCTCCAGTCAGCATTTTTCTAAGATTAAAATTTGTGCTCAGGGTTGCATCATGCTCTCAAAAACTGCATTTTGCTTATCAACTGGGCTGGTTTGAATTAGCTAGCTGCTTAAGAATCGGAGGCTGAGGCTGAGCTTGCTCTGACCACTCAGAATGAGGCATAGGACCCCTTTGAATAGGAATATAAACTCAACCAGTGCTGCATGCCCCCCATCCCCAGATATGCTGACCTGCTGAATTTAGAGCAGCTTTGCACTCTTCTGCAGAAATACTTCGGATTGTGATAATTTTCTTGAGACCCCAGATGCATTTTTAACATAACCAAGGATGACTTTGAACTTCTCTTCTGATCCCTCCTTTTACCTCCTGAATGCTGGGATTATAGGCATGCGCCACCACTATGCCCAGTTTTTTGCAGGTCTGGGGATCGAACCAGGGGCTTTGTGCATGCCAGAGGCTGAGTTTTATGCCTTTGTGTTGGGGAACCCTGCTGTTAGGGTTGTAGTCCTCCATGTCCCAATAGCTCTAAGGGGCTGGGCGCCATATGGAAGGACTCCCCTTCTCAGCAGGGGGCCTCCTGCTCTCTTCCTGACTTACCTGGAAAGTGCCACCAAGCAGGATGCCTGACCTTATTTGGAACATGACCTTTGGCATAGTTACCTGGAGTAAAAACTACCCCCAGGTTTTTTCTATATGATAATCAGGCATTGCCTGGTAGTTGGAAGATAGTAGCCGACTGCCACATGTAAATAAAGCATACTATGAGCACCTATCAGCTGAAGCATTGGCTACTGCCTCCACACTATATTTTCCCTAGTTCTCCCACTAAATAAACGGAGCTGTTTCACTGAATCTAGAGCTGTTTCACTGAATCTGGAGCTGTTTGCATTATTGAACCTGCCTCCCCGGAAGGGCTTTCTTCCGTCAGTGCTCACTAGCCATCCTGACCCCATTCGTCGCTTCTGCTCCCTTTGTCCTCGTGGAGCGGTGGCCAACTATCCATGAAGAGAGGGAGCTTCCCCACACCTTTGCATTCAGTGTGTGACTGTTTTTTATTCATAGCAAGTAAAACCTTTTGTTTTCATTTCAGTGAAAAATAAAAGATCACAGTCCAGGTGTGATGGCACATGCCTTTAATCCCAGCACTCCGGAGGCAGAGGCAGGTGATCTCTGTGAGTTCATTACAGGGAGACCTTGTTTCAAATGTAGACCAGGCTGGCCTTGAACTCACAGAGATCTGCCTGCCTCTGCCTCCTGAGTGCTGGGATCAAAGGCATGTGCCACCACAGCTGGCACAAAATTACATAAATTGTACAGTTGGTATGCCACTTTGTCCTTGTTGAAGCCAGGGTACCAGGTGACATTCAGTTAATCACAAAGTATTCTGTGTGGGAACTGAATGTGTGTTTTCCTTTTTGATCTTCTCATAGCCTTCAGGCCCGATTCTTAACTTAGTACTTAATCATTTTTCATGAAGGTACTCTTTATCTTATCATGGTATTTAAAATTGATTATATTGATTTGTACTTGTTGTACCTCATCCACTGGACCCCAAAAAGACCACCGAGGACCCAACACACCAGAATGCAAAAGCAAAGGTTTATGGTTTATTTGGGCTTAAGCTCGGCTTTCAGACCTCACCAACTCAACGGATCCGTGCTGAGAGCCCAGAGTAAGGGAGAGTGGAGCCTTTTATAGGTTTTAGACAAAAGAGGGGGGGGTACCGAAGATACATTTTGGTTGGTTCAAGGAGCCCGTATGCGCCAACATAATTTTAAACCGATTGGATGTATAAGATGCAGCCCTGGAAGTTTCTTATTGGTAGGTGCTATTCTCAGGGCTGTGGAATGTGCTGTCTGTTACCTGTGGGGCCTGGAGTCTCTGTTTTTACCTTATAGGGCAGTTTTCATGCCCAGGCTTGCTTAATCTATAGTTTCCTGGAAGGGGGGTGGGGAATAGCAGGCGGGGGTCAGGGCATGCCAGGGTATGTCTAGGCATGTCTAAAGCAGCAGCTTAGCATTTTACAGAAGCTAAAAGAGCAGTTCGTAGGGGTCTGGAGGGATTGGGGGGTAGCGGGTGAATGAAGAGGGTCTCAGGGTTCTACAGTACTCTTCTTAGGGTTTGTGTGTGTGTGTGTGTGTGTGTGTGTGTGTAGGTGAGTGTGGAAGCCAATATTGGGTGTATTCCTGAATTGCTTCTCATGTATGTATGTATGTATGTATGTATGTATGTATTTAGGCTTTTTGAGACAGGGTCTCCCTGTAGCCCCAGCTGTCCTGGAACTCACTATGTAGACCAGGCTGGCAGCTTCCATCTCATAGACATCTACCTGCCTTTGGGATTAAAGGTATACACCACCATGCCCAGTTTCCACCTTATTTTAAAAAATATATTTATTATATTTTTTATTTTATGTGTATGAGTATATTGCCCACATGTATGGAAGTGTGCCCATGTTGTGTAATGCTTGTGCAGGTTAGAAGAGGGTGTTGGATTCTCCTGTAACTGGAGTTACAGATGATTGTTAGCCACCATGTGGGTGCTGGGAATTGAACCTGGGTCCTCTGGAAGAACACCCAGAGCTCTTAATTGCTGAGCCATCTCTCTAACCCCTCCACCTTATTTTTTGAGACAGGATTTCTTTTTCTTTTTTAAAAAATATTTTATTTATTATTTTTATATGTATGTGTGTATTGCCTGCATGTAGGTAAGTGTACCCGTGTCATGCAATGCCCACAGAGCATAGAAGAGGTTGTCGGAGTCCCTGGAACTGGAGTTATGGACAGTTGTTAGCTGCCATGTGGGTGCTGGCATTCGAACCTGGGTCTTCTGTAAGAGCAGTCAGTGTTCTTAACCCCTGAGCCACCTCTCTAGCCCGAGACAGGATTTCTTACTAAACCTGGGGCTCACTGACTGGGTAGACTGGCTGTCCAACAAGCTCCAGGGATTCTCCTGTAGTCATCTCCTTAATGCTGTGGTCACAGGCATGTACTGCTACACCTGGCTTTTTAAATGGGTTTTGGATCTGGGTGTGGTGGTGCATGCCTTTAATTCCAGCACTTTAATTCCAGGCGGATCTCTGTGAGTTCAAGCCCAGAGTGGTCTACATAGTGAGTTCCAGGACAGCTAGGCTACAGGGAGACCCTGTCTCAAAAAGACCAAAAAAGAAAAAAAAAAGGGTTTTGGGGATCCATATTCAAATCTTTATTCTTGTACAGCTCTGTGATTTCTGAAGGTATGCTTAGTCCTGACTGGGTACATCCTGTGTGATTAAGAGAATCTGAGGTTCTATAAACAGTCCATATATAGCAATTTAAAAATCTGTTGGTATGGGTCTGGAGAGATGGCTCAGTGGTTAAGAGCACTGACTGCTTTTGCAGAGGACCTGGGTTTGATTCCCAGCATCCACATGGCAGCTACTGACTGCCCTTAACGCCAGTTCTGGGAGAATCTGAAGCTCTCTTCTGACATCCATGGCATTGCACAACACAGGTGTACTCACATACATGCAGGCAATACACTCATACATATAAAATAAAGATAAAGAAAAAAATCTATTGGTATATAGAAAAAAATCCTAAAAGGGATCTAATTGGCTTAACTTGATTCCTAGATTAGTTGGCATTATATAACAAGTAATTTTTCTTTTGCAGATTTCCTTGTGAAACCTTCTAGAAGGAAAAGTTGTCAGGAAAAACTCCATTTGGTAAGTTCGTTTTCCTGTCGTAAGTACTCTGTGCTGACTTAAAGCAGGGAAAATTTATTCACAGATTGATTTTGTGAGTTTGTCATTATTTAGAATTTTCGTTCATTATAATACCTCTAAGTAAGGTGTGGTATGTTCATTAGGACTCAAGTCAGGTTACCTTTTTCATATATATTTGTGGTATAACCAATATTCTATGCCTGAAAACATAATTTAAATAGTTGTGATTTTTGATTTTGTAGCATTGAATCTTTTGTCTAAAGTAAATAGTAGTCATCATTCTGGAGTTTTTTTTTAAGATTTACTTTTACTTGTGTGTGTGTGTGTGTGTGTGTGTGTGTGCGTGCGTGCATTCCTTCAGAGACCAGAAGACATTGAATCTCCTGGAGCTGGAGTTATAAGTGGCTGTGAGCCACCTGATTGTGGGTACTGGGAACAGAACTCAGGTCCTTTGGAAGAGCAGTGGTTGCTCTTAACTAGTGAGCCATTTCTCCAACAGCCATTCTAGAGTTTTAAAAATTGAAACTTGATTCTGATTTTTGAGTTTTCTTAAATTGATATATATTTATATGAAATTTAAGATCTCACTGATTAGAGTTAGTAGTACAAGTATGAAATATGTTTGTGGGGTCTGGAGAGATGGCTCAGTGGTTAAGAACACTGACTGTTCTTGCAGAAGACCTGAGTTCGAATCCCAGAACCCACATGGCAGCTAACAACTGTCTGTAATTCCAGTTCCAGGGGATCCAGCATCCGCTTCTGTCCTCTGTGGGCATTGCATGACATGGATGCACTTACCTACATGCAGGCAATACATGCATACACATAAAATAAAAATAATAAATAAAATATTAAATAAAAAGAAATGTTTGTGTATTTGTTTACTGTTGAGACAAAATGTCATGTAGCCCAAGCCTGCTTCCAATTTGTTATGTAACAGAGACTGTCTATGACTTCCTGATCTTCAGTCTGTACCTCTCAGGTGCTTGGATGACAGGCTTGGGTCATAACATACCCAATTTATGTAGTAGTCTTGGGAACCAAGCCCAGGACTTTGTGTATGTTAGGTAAGCACTCTACCAACTGAGCTGTATCCCCAGCTGTTTATTTTTAAAATTTTATTTATTTTTAAGTTTTGGTTTTTGGTTCTTTTTTTTTTGAGACATGGTCTCCCTGTAGCCCCAACTGGCCTAGAACTTGCTATGTAGCCCAGGCTGGCCTTGATCTCACAGAGATCTGCCTGCCTCTGCCTCCTGAGTGCTGAGATAAAAGATGTGTGCTACCGTGCCTCGCAAATTTTTTTTAATTTTTATGATTTTTTTTTTTGAGATAGAGTCTAACTATTATGTAGTCCTGGCTCACTGTATAGACTAGTCTGTATAGACTGTATAGTCTGTATAGACTGTACAGTCTGTATAGATTGTATAGACTAGTCCCAAACTCACTGTATAGACTAGTCTGGCCTCAGACTTACAGAGATTCATCTGCCTCTGTCTTCTGAGTGCTGAGATTAAAGTTGTGAGTCACCATGTCCAGCTGATAAAAAAATTTTTTTAATTGAATTTTTGTATGTATTTCATACAAAAAATCATCTTTATATCCCCTTCCCCCTTCCCCTTTGGCACCCTCCCATAGTCCCCCCTCCCCTGGAGTTCATACATTCTGTCATTGACATTAAGGCCTATTATGTAAAGTTAGTGTCCCAAGATTTCCCTCAGTGCAAGTTCATCCACTGGAGTTTAGTCAGCCTATCTAGAGTCTCTCTCCCTTCAAGAAGATCAGCTCTTCTTCACTCAACAGTAATCAGCTGCCAATAATTCTTCAACTAAGATTGGGGCTTGCTGTTCATTCCCACAATTCTGTGCTAAGTTTTTGCCTAAGTTTTCCTGGACCTTGTGCATGCTGACACCATTGTTGTAGGTTTGTATGAGATGGGTCAGAAGAGCGCATTGGAACCCTTGGAACTGGAGTCAAAGATGGTTGTTAGCCACCATGTGGGTGCTGGGAACCGAACCCAGGTCCTCTGTTTCCTGGCCAGCTGGTTTTTTTTTTTTTTTTAAAAAAAAAAAAAAAAAAAAAAAAAAAAAGAATAACCAGTGTTCTTAACTGCTGAGCCATTTCTCCAGCCTGTATTTTTATTTTTTATTTAGGTTACAAAGTAGGTTTCCTTATGACTCTCTCATACATCCTTAGCTTTGGGCAACTCTACCCTCTAATCTTTCCCTGACTTCTACCCTCCTCCTCCCTGAGTGCATTCCTGCTTAAACCTTTCTAGCCCCTGTCTTGTACTTTCATGTTCATATCACATGTGTTTACTGCCCTCACTCCCTGAAAGCTTTTTTTCCTCTCCTGGGCCCCTTTCTAATTTCCTGATTTATACACATACTCCCACTAGGATCCGTATATGAAAGAGAGTATGCTGGGTTCATCTTTCTGAGCTTGGGTGATTTCATTATATTTTCCAATTTCATTCATTTTTCTTCAGATTTCACAGTTTCCTTTTTCTTTGTGGCTAAGTAAAATTCCATTCTGTGTGTATACCACATTTTCACTATCCATTAATCAGTTGATGACCATCTGCAGATTTCATTTCCTAGCTATTGTGAGCAGAGCAGGAATAAACATGAATGTGCAGGTATTTCTATGGTAAGATACAAAATCATTTGGGTATATGTACAGGAGTGGTATAGCAGGTCATACGGTGGTTCTGATTTTAGTTTTCTGAGAAACTTCCACACTGATTTCCATAGTGGCTGTATTGGTTTTCACTTCTGCCACTGAGTATGGACTTTCCTTTCCCCACATCCTTGCTAGTATTTGTTGTCCTTTGTTTTCTTGGATCTTAGCCATTCTTTGGATTTATGGCCCACTTCACTAGATAGAGTTCATACCTGATATACCTGGTACGGTTATCAGGGCCAAGAATAAAGTAATCTGGGTAACTTTGAAACAATAGACATGTATTTCCTACAGATCCATAAACCATGACTTCAAGATCAAAATGATGGCAGATTTGATACCTGTGGAAGCCTGAATCCTGGTTGACAGAAAAGCTCTCCCCAGACACTGAATCTGTTTGTACCTTAATGGATTTCTCAGCCTTCAGCCACAGTGGACTTT